GGCTGATTACCATGCCAAAAAACAATGTGTTCAGACTGCTTTTGGAGGATTGTCCCAGTGTGGAGTGTGGAACGTCGCTCCAGAGACAGAAAAAGAGAGATGGAGGGAGAGAAGTCATGAATTCAAACAGACACTTCCCTTTTAAGGTGGAAGCTGTGTGTGTGTCTGTGTGTATGTGTGTGTGATTGCACGTGGAGGGTGTTTGTCTTAGCGAGCTGGGGAGTCTCCAAGTCAGCCAGTGGTCTGTGTGCTTTATTAGCAGACACACACACGCACACACAGTCTGTTTAGAGGGTTCAGTAACATCCTGTTTGTTTGCTTTCTAAGAAGATAGGTAGGTGTCTTTAATCGCTGAACATCTCTCTCAGTCTGGTTGCAATTACTCTGTGAAGCTGAAGCCAGAGTTTGATGGTAGGAGCCAAAGTGTCAGAAAAGTATCAGAACACCCCAGACATTTGATAAATGGACACACAGTAGATCAAAGGCGTTTATAGGTAGATGTTATATCGAACGGTGGTTGACATCTCACCTGAGTCGCCAAGATGAGACGGGAATTTGCCCGTTCTGCGCTCGAGGGTGAGAATTACTTTTTAACTATTGCCTGACTCACTCAAATACACACACACACACACACACAAGCGCGGCTATTGAGATGGTAATTAGCTCCACTCTCTCCTGCTGCATTTAGAAAGTAAAAGAGACATCTGATGACCGGTCAGCCAACTCCCCAGCTTTTGTCCTGGGAAGCACACACACACACACACACAGATTATACCAAGAGGAGAGTGAGCGAGCCATGCCTCGTTGCGCTCACTCTCCACACCCACACAGCATGGACAATAGCCCTTCCTGACTCACTACGCTCTCTTTGTCCACCGTCTTCTCAATACAACTCAATAAATCGCCCTGACAGGTTTCCAAACTCTCAAGATCTCATGATTCAGACCAACTCCTCATCTTGTTATAGAGGAAAGATGGTAAAATGGTTTTGTCTGGTCCCCCCGTGACGCTTCATGCGTCCGTTTTGAGCTCTTTCAGCATCCGTCAAACTGTGTTTTACACCGCTGGCGCATCTTCAACTTAACTGTATCTCTGTGGACAGCGGGGAAGGGCCGACGTTGAAGAAAGATTGTTTTATCAGTAAAAAATGAAAAGGTTTCATTCAAACATCCATCAGCAACTCTTCCTTTGGGATATCAAAACAAAAGCCTCATGATTTACTCAAGAAAAACATCTTGAAATCACAAAAAAAGAGCTTAAAATGACTGAAAATGAATCACAGAAACCTAACAGTATACATGTGTATTAGTCTCTGTAAACACTGCAGGTACTCTGTGTTGTTAGATGAGGGAAGACCTCTGGTGACACCACATCTGTTCTGGTATAGTGCGTAACTCATCCAAGATGAAGCACTCGTTTAAAAAAAAGGGCAGAAGAGCAACTTGTCCCATCTGTGCCGTCTTTTAACAATTACAAAAACATGTAACTGTAAATTCCTGGAGGGTCTTTCCCCAAATGTTTTATGATCTAAGAGTAAATGGAAAACCGTAGACAGATCTGTTTGGAGAAAAAAAAAGTGGCATCTTTGTATTGCGTGAGTCCGCCTTATCTATTTAATGCCTTTGAAATGGAAATATTTAAAAGTCTTAAGTGTTTTCAATGAGTCTTTTGTGTTTTCCCAACAGAAGCGCCATATTGGACCAAGCCAGAACGAATGGACAAGAAATTATTGGCCGTTCCTGCGGCCAACACCGTCAAATTCCGCTGCGCTGCGTCTGGAAACCCACCGCCAACCATACACTGGCTGAAGAATGGCAAAGAGTTCAAGGGAGAGCAGAGAATGGGAGGCATCAAGGTGAGAGCAATAACATGTTAACACCTAAAGGTTAAAGGAGCAGGACTGTGATTTATAGATTCAAATCTTCACACAGCACCAAAAAAAATCTGCTTGGAGGAGTCTCATGTTCTTCCCTGTTTGAGCTACTGTCAAAGTGCCTTTTAGCAAGGCATTTTAATCCCCTGCTGCGTGTCCATCATTAGATCAGTGTGGGTGTTGCAATGTTCCCTGGTGTGAATGTCTATAACTGGGAGACTGTGAAGCAGAGTGCTGAAAGAAACTCACGCTCTGTGAATCTTCTCACGGTAAATAAAGGTCAGGAAACACGCCATAGTCGAGGACACCCCCGGCACTCAGAAACGTAACCTCCGGATAAGCTGAATATAAATTTAGGGTCAGACCGCTGTGCTGAAATCAAAATGGTTCACAGATACGTGCATGCTCGCGTGATAGCTCAGTGTTGACAGTAACCCAGTGCAGCAGACAGCTGTTGTGCTCAGTTTTGTCATCGGATTCACTCTAAACACTAGGCTCTCGGGTGGAATGGCACTGCTTAAAGTAGCGGGGCTTGGTTTACTTTTGTTTTCCCTTAATGGCCCTGAGCTGCAGAATTAAAGGACAAACTTGGTGTGGTAAGACCATCGGAATTCAAACAGTAAAAACGTGTGTTTTGGTTCAAAATAAACTTCAACCTAATGGCACATAAATTCTAAAATTATGCCCAGAGATGTAAATTCTTTTGAGGGTCATTCAGCCTGTGTCTTATTATTTTGTCCTTCTCGTTCTTCTCAGTGCTTTCCTAAAATGATGGTGAGGGTGGGGGCTGTTTTAGATGCTAACATTCACATATGTGGTGAATTATATAAGGGAGAGCTGCATTAATTTGTTACTTTCTTACCTGAAATTGCCGTCATTTCAGCAATTATGATTTAATTGCTGAAATATGATTTTAATCAAGTCATTACTAATGTTCCAGAAAAAAATGTACATGAGGTTCGCCAGCGTTTAGTAACATTAGCCACCCTAAGCCCTATGCTTTGTCTGCACTTCTATACTTAAACTCACTATTATAGTGCTCAATTTACTAACTGTGGCTACACTGAGGGCTCTAGAAATATAGTATAGTATAGTGTCTCCTAACAGTCACTGTACACGTGGACAAACATTTTTCAGCCAGTAAAAGGAAGTATATATTATCAGATAATCACGGCGTTGTTAGCTAGCCATTACTAGCTAGCTAAGAGCTAGCTAACAAACGTTTTCATTTCGAGGCATTGCAGTTAAACCCAGTTAATAAATGCAATTGGGTTTTTTTTATAAGCGTGTTAAACTGTCATCTTCACTGCTAAAGAATTTAGTATTAAGTTTTGTGAAAGCACCACAGTTGTGCTAAACGTTAACGTTATTTCTAGATAGTGTTACAGTAGGCTGTCAGAATCAGTGTTGCCAACTTAGCGACTTTGTCGCTATATTTAGCTAGTTTTCAGACCCCCTAGCGACTTTTTTTCTAAAAAAAAGTATGTATGAGTATGTAGAGGACATAGTACACTAACTGAGAGTGTACTTGCAGAATAATTGCTGAATTAAAAATGAGATAGAGTGAGGTTAAAGAGTTTTTTATTACAGAAGAGAGGGAAAGTGTCCATTTGAGCTATTTCCTATTACTCTAACATTTCATCTTCCACTTTCAGCGGGCTAATCGTGTGTCAGACTGCTATAGAAGCAGTGAGAGACATTTGGCCTTTAAAGAGTTAAATGTAATGAGACTCTGCAGCTATTAACAGTTTACATAGATCTTCAACATCTGCTCCCAGCAGACCAACAGCAGTTGTCTCCCTCTCTCTGTCCCCACTCTGACACACACACAGATTCACACACACCTGTCACCAGTCCTCAGGACGCTCCAACTTTGACTGGAGTGGTTCCCTGACAGCAACTTTTAGCATGTGTAGTACACATGAAGATTAACGGATGAGAAATTTTGTTGTTAGCAGCAAATTAATCCCAAACTGAGCGCTCAGAGCACTTAGATGTTTAATCCAACTGTTCAACAAATCTCTGAGTTCTCCAAATCCCAGAGTTGCTCTGTACTCACCAGTGTCCAGTTAAAGAGCACAGCGGAGATGTTTTTAGCATTAAGGTCTGGTCTTAATGTCAGCGCCATCATTGTATTTTCCTCACACAAACTCAGCCTATGCAGTGTGTATAGCTTGGTGTGTTTGCCCCTGAAGCAGCAGTAACCATTTTGTACACCTTTATGCTTTAATACATGCTCCTATGGGATGCTCCATGTATAGTTAGAGGTCGATATGTATAGCTGCCTCTTCATACTAAGCCTTTACAAAGTATGTAAAGTCACATTGACCTTGGGCTGGCTTTATTTGAGTGTGAGCTGTGACACTAACAAGTCATTAACACAAATTCCTGTACATGCTCTGATCTGTGTAGCTTGAGCAAAACAACCACTGCTGTGGGTTTAATTGTATCTGTGGCCACTTGTACTGTAAGGATAAAAGTATCCAGTGGACTGAATAGGTTCTAGTAGTGGCTTGGCCATTTCTGCACACTATGGCCTCAGTTATTTCACTGTTATAAATGGTTAGCATTAGCATTTCTGTACATGTAAAGCAAACTAGCTTGAAATTTTAAATCACCTACCATACAATGGACACGTAAGAGCACGTC